TCTGGATGCACTTTTAGAAAGGATTGCGCCTATCTTCGCGAATCCTGAGAATTCCCAGGTGTGGCGGGGTACTCCCCACCGCTGATTTCGCTGCTTTTGGCGTCTTATTTGAGTTTGCTTTGGCGACTGGTGCGCTGGAGAAACTCGGAAAAGAGTGCGTCTTCTTCGCTCGACAAGCCCTTTTTATACGGGACTAATTAACCCGCGCCGGCGTAAAAACAACGTTACCCCCGTCGAGCGGCCGCAAAACGTGACGGCTCCGTTCGTGGCGCGCGGTGGAGCCGGGCGCGAGGGGACTTAACCCGATCGTTCGGGTTTCGTCGGCCGTTTTCGGCGCGCTTCGTTTCGAAGCTCAACCGTACGGCTTCGTTTTTAATGTTTAAAAATGTGGCGCTCAGCGCCCTGCCCTTGCCCGGCGGTTCTTATGCCGGGCGGCAGCTTCCAGCGATCGCCTGCTGGGAATCAGGGGTGCATGGGTGCATCGTTATAAATGTTAAAGGATAGTTTGTATTTCCAAAAAAAAAACGCTGTTATATCATATTTGACACTTCGTTTTGTTATCTATACATGATATTGAAAGTGAGACATTGGAATAATTATGCATAAAAGCTCGTGTGACTTTTAACGCATTGTCAAGTATGAGGCAAGGAAAACAATAAAGATTCGATCTTACTTATGTATTGCCATTGCCATAAAATATCTAACATTCTTGCTTTCTTCTAACTAATTGTGTACATACATACAAGAACCCTTTATATCAGGAGCGTGTTTACCTGACTTGACTTTGATTTCATTTGCACTCGAATGCGATCTATCGAAGAATAAATTTAAATAATATTATATAAACATAATATTAAAGAAAATGACGAAATATTATTGTCGGACAGAGAATTGTGACAATTTATTTACGAATTTTCGAGGGAGGTTGTATTAAGAATAAAGATTTGATACAGGGTGTCGACTTGACGAAATGGGCACGTGTCACGCACAGATTTCATGTCATTACATACATTTTATATTTTTCTACGCATTATTCATTCACGTTTAGCTCGTATGAGCCACGGTTTCGGAATATTACGAAATATGATTTCTCTGATGAAAAATCGCTTCGTGCCGCAGACATTTCCGTCGCATGCGTCAAACATGTGTAATTAGTGGACACAGTATACATAATAAATCGAAAATCAATTCGCGATTACGTGATACGGTACGAATTGATGACCTGACCTTTCGACTCTTGTGACGCAACGCGATCGACTATAAAATCTTTTTATGCCGTGAAATAATTCTGGCAATAAATTAATTTTTTTCCATCAATTTTATCATCGATAATAACGCTTTAATCGACTTGTAACGATGCGCCCCGAAATGCATCATTTCCCGGCGAATATCAGCCAGAAGCTGCCGCCCGACGACCACCAGTCGGGCAGAGGCAGGGGCTGTGTGCCCACTTTTTAAAGCCTTAATAAAATCCGGGTAGGAAGTCCGACAGAACGCCGTCGGCCGGGAGCCGCCGGTTGAGAACCGCACGCGCTAATAGGCCGTTATTTTTTCCGTCGCCCGGTGGGAGTAAACAATAAATACGCCGGTGCACGGACCGTAATTAGCGGTATAAAACGGGCTCCCGGTGACACCAAAGATCAGATCCTTCCGATCCTCTCGAGCAAAAGCTAGTTCGAAGGCAAGCTTACGCATAAAAGAGAAAACTCCGAAGCGATTAACACGAACCGAAGGTAGTGCGAACGCTGCCTCAGCCGATCGATATTGGCGCTCAATATCGCTCCCTCTCTCTCTCTCTCTCCAAAATCCAAATTAAGGCATCGTACCACGTCACGAGGACCTGAGCCGCCTCCGACGCTCGCTAGCGTCGCGACGCCTTCCGAATAACCAAAATCCATCCAGGGAAGCTAATTTCGTAAATTAAATCCCGATAAGTTAAAGCCGAACAACTGAAATACGGGTACTGCGATAAGAACCGGCAAAAGAAGCGCGACAAAAATCACGCCGCCGAGCGCCGAAAGGAACGCGCCCTTTAAACCGGTGCATTGTAAAAATGACGATTCTCCGTATTAAAACTACAATAAATTCGCGGATTATTTACTCGATAATATCCGCCGAACCAAGCGCAATTATAACCCGCGACTCCGCTGGAAAGCAAAAGCAACATGCGAATCTAGGATACCACGCCCGGTGCAATCGATACATCGATTGCCGGCCGCGCGCCCGATCTTCCTCGCGCCACGCGAAACACGCACGCACACACACACACACAATCATCCGTGCCGTCCGATTTATACGTACACACACACCCACACACCCACACACACCCACACCCACACCCACCCACCCACCCACACACACACACACACACACACACACACACACACACACACACACACATACATACACTTGTATACACCATACATTAAAATAAAATACATTTTACAAATCCACACAGAGCAATTCTTTCTCCTGGAACCGACGGCTATCCGTACTGCGATCCGCAGCGACGTTACAGACTTACGTTTAACCGGCAAATCGCGATAAATTTTTACCAAGAAATATTCATCTTTGCGATAATGCGTGTACCTTCTTATCGCGACCGACTTAACGTCAACCTTGGACGAGCTGCGCACTTTTAAACGGTGACTTTAAAGAAATACACGTATCAAAAAAAAGAAGGATGATGTAAAAGTATAATTATAAGGAAAATTATATTGAAATAAATTATCGAGCGGTTGATGAAAATCGACGAATTACGCAAACACGTGACATTTTCTTGCTGAAACTGTATCGTGCCGATAATAAAATATTTTCTCCATCATGCGACCAATGTGAGAAATTTCGTACTCGTCATTAATATTTTATCGTGTATTGCGATATCACGATTTTTCGAAATGGCACGTTTGAGATTATAGCTGAATATTTGTCAATTTTTTTTTCTTTATTCCCATGTGAAACGGTATTGAGATAAGATCGAAAAATGAATATATATCTTACGAGATATTTTATATCTTTTCTTTCTGACATACTTAATTATTTTCTTTATAAGACATGTATAAAATATCTTATAAAGCATATTCTTACTATTTGAAGGAAATAATTTTTTATTTCCTTTATATACGTGCCGGAAATATCTCATAAGGTATCTCTGCGATGTACACAGTGAGACATTTAATTTTGCACTCTATATGTTATATGTAATAATTTTTCATACATCACATATAAATAATTTATAAGTTATATTCATGGTATGTTAATTAGATACATCACTCATATAATATATGTATATTATATATTTGAAAGTAAAATAGGCAATTTGCATTATCGCAATAACATTTTGTATTAATTGGTACATTAATTTGTTTTCCTCTGCAGCACCTGAGATATTTTAGGAACACTCGAGACTTGAGTGGAATATAAAATGTTTCGAAAATTTTCAAACACGCAGATAAAGAAAATTGGTAATTTAAGGATACGGGCCATTTGTTGATGTTATGCATCTTTATTCAGAAAAAGAAAAATAAAATGAGAAATATTGAGAAAAGGAAAAAATGATATTTACGCGCGAACAATCATTGCAAAATTGGTTTATCTAAGTGAAACTACTCAATTGAGATTACTCAAATTTTACTCTCATTAACTATGTTATATGCCAATTGAAGGTAATTGCTTATGGACCGAACGTATACAAAGAGACTGGTGGACGAAGAACCAGTGTGAGTTCAGATTTCGATGTGCTAAAAACGCGTAAATCATCTCTGTTTATTCGTGAGAATGGGATTTGCGACGATTGACATGATACGAAGTTCTTTGTGCCTCTAAACTCATCGAGATCACATCGGTTGTAGTCTCTTTGTTTTTAGATAGATCCATCGGAATTATCAGGAATCCTCCTGATTTGCTTTCCAAGATCTATTCAAAAGAGAGCAAAATATTTTTATTAAACATAATATTTTTATATGTATTAAAAAAAAATGTGAACGACATTGAAAAGTTTCTATTGTGTAAATATACAAGGTGTTTCAGACCATCCGTACAACCCATTTAAAAACTAGAGAAGTGGTTATTTCAAAACAAGTAAAAACATTTTTTTTATAAATCGGGTGCGCTCTATCGAATGGTGATATTTTCAACTTCTGCTTTCGGCCGGAAATAGGCGATTCAGACCGGAAGTGCATTTTTTTAAATGGAACTCCATATTTTTCATTTCATATTCTTGTGGCTTACCTCGAGAGCTTTCCAAAACACTATAATAAATTATTTTTGCATGAAGTACTTTTCGAGTTATGAACCTTGAAATCATTTCTTAATTTTACATAAACCATAAAATATCTTGTAAAATATTTCATTTTTCAATTATCTTACCATAATACTTTTATGTACAAAATAATGAAAGAAGTCAATGGTGTAAAGAAAACACATAGTTATTTTTAAGAAAAAATATGTAATTGTTAATTGCAAATTACATACTTTTTCTTCGAAACAACTATGTGTTTTCTTTACACCAATTGATTTCTCTCATTATTTTGTACATAAAAGTATTAAGATAAGGTAATCAAAAAATGAATATTTTGCAAGATATTTTATTGATAATATAAAATTAAGAAATGATTTCAAGCCTCATAACTCGAAAAGTAATCAATGAAAAAATACTTTGTTATAGTGTTTTGAAAAGCTCTCGAGGTAAGCTCCAAGAATATGAAATGAAAAATTGGGGGTTCCAATTAAAGAAATGCACTTCCGGTCTGAATGGCCTATTTCCGGCCGGAACCAAAAGTTGAAAATATCACCATTCGATAGAGCGCACCCGATTTATAAAGAAAATGTTTTTATTTTTTTGAAATAACCACTTCTCTAGTTTTTAAATGGGTGATATGATACGGGTGATCTGAAACACCCTGTATTTCCTCTTCATGGCTCGTGTAACTCTTGAAGAGACAAAAAGCGAAGAGGGATTTTAATCAATTCTATTCTAATTTACGGGTAACGATTTTAAGGACGTCGGAGAAGATTCTACGCAAAGGACTTCAGCAAGATGCCTGCACAGTTTGAAAGTATCAACAGTCCGATGACGCGGGAGCCGGTGGTCACGAATGGAGTCCCATATTCCATCGATAGTGACATCGTCATTACGGGCATTTCAGGTAATTATTGGTGCGATTGATCGGATCGTTATCAGAGCGTAACGCATCGACGATATTATTCCAGGTCGTTTACCTGAGTCGGCAAACATTGAGGAGTTTAAGGAGAATCTCTTGAAGGAAATGGATATGGTTACCGATGACGAGCGCCGTTGGGCGGCAGGCATTTATGGATTACCGCGAAGATCCGCCAAGATCAAGGATCTCGCTTCGTTCGATGCCTCCTTCTTCGGGGTACATCCCAAACAGGCACATGTAATGGATCCGCAACTTCGTATGCTGTTAGAAACTACGTACGAGGCGATAATCGATGCTGGCATCAATCCTTCGACCGTGAGAGGATCCCGCACTGGTGTCTTCATCGGCGTCTCCTCCTCCGAATCGGACGAATTTTGGACGAAAGACCCGAATCAAATTAACGGTTTGTATATTTTGAAACTCGGTTTCGAATCTTGTACAAAATCTTATCAGTCTTATCTCAAAAGCTTATAAAAAAATTAAGACCATTTATACTCACAGAAAAAAAAAAGTATTAAATCAAAACTTACTCTCTAAAAGTGAATTAGTGTATTATCACTGAAAAACAGTAAATAATCACTGATTATAACAGTTAAGTATAGCACTGTAAATCAGTATATTTTATTCAAAGAATCAGTTAATAATTTTAAGAATCAGTTAATAATTTCAATCAGTAATATGTATTTCTCAATATCAGTAATATTTCTTTCGTTATTGTCAGTAATGTTAAACTACAATTCATTTCTCTATCTATTTCATATAAAATTAAAAATTTTATTTATATTTACTAAATATTTATTATATTAAAAATTTTATTTTATTTATTTTATTACATGCACATTGAACTTGCTATTTTAAGTAGATAACGAACGAATAATTTTCATTAAGTCGCCAGACATTTATTTGTACAATTGATAAGATAGATTTAATATTTGAAATTAAATCGAAGTATTATTTTTAATTTTATCTGTCGCTCTTCGCAAACTTTATATAATTCTTATGACTAAATACGAGAGAAATAGTGATCGTAGAGGTAAACGAACGAACTAGCGATTACTGGATTTATGGTGAATTTTATTTTAACTGACCATAATCAGTGAGATATAAGATAAAATAACAAAAAAATAAGCGTTTCCATTGAAAATCAGTAAAATACTCACTGATTCTCAGTGAAATCTTATTTTACTGTTTAAATTAGTGATATTTTCACTGATTCACTTTTAGAAAGTATATACTTGAATTAACGCGTTCATTGTTTCGTATATACGCAACAATTTATAATCTTCTTGGAGGAATTTAATAATTTTAAATTTCAACAATATTATAGTCTTATTTTAATATTGTAATTGTCACCCCAAGAATACATAATTATTTAATTCTACTTTAAGAAAATTAAAATCCTTAAAAATATTATTTTCTATCTAACATTGTTTCTTTTGCAATCAAGAAAATTAAATCTTAAATCATAAGAATTTTTCTTGATAAAAAATAAGCGTCAAATCAAAACTTATATAGTTAAAGTAACTTATTCATCGTTTTGTATATACGCAACAATTTATAATCTTCTTAGGAGAATTTAATAATTTTAAATTTCAACAATATTATAGTTTTATTTTAATATTGTAATTGTCACCTCAAGAATATATAATTACTTAATTCTACTTTAAGAAAATTATCCTTAATTTAAAATCCTTGATTTAAAAATATCATTTTCTATCTAACATTATCTCATTTCTATTCAAGAAAATCAAATCTTAAATCATAAGAATATATTTTTCTTGATTGAATTATATAAAATGGCTTCATTCAAGTAATCAATTATTATTCAAGGAATTATATTTTTGTTTAATTAACGCAATATAATCTCATTTCAAAATTTCCATATTAAAACTAAATATATTTTCATAACAAGAATGTCCTATTTTCTGCTCCTGGACAAAATTAACACATAATTTTTTTTCACTTTTCCTTTAAAATTTTTCATCAAAATTTAAATGTCACCTTTAAAAGAAAAAGTGAAACAAAAATTATGCGTTAATCTTGTCCAGGAGTATATTTACTGGAGATAAATTGAGAAATTTGCATTTGATTTGCAGGATATGGAATGATCGGATGTTGCAGAGCGATGTTAGCCAACAGAATTTCTTTCGCGTTTGACTTCTCTGGACCCAGTTACGCAATAGATACAGGTTGTTCCTCGGCCATGTTTGGCATGCATCAGGCAGTCGCAGCGATGCGCGCCGGCGAGTGCGACGCCGCGATCATCGGTGGAATAAATCTGCTGCTGAAGCCAGCGAACTCGCTTCAGTTTCATAAATTAAGTATGTTATCGCAGGACGGCATGTGTAAAGCATTCGACGCCACGGGCAAGGGATTCGTAAGGGCCGAGGCAGTAGTGGTGATATACTTACAGAAGGCGAAGGACGCGCATCGAGTGTACGCCACGGTGCTCCACACGAAAACGAACACCGATGGTTATAAATCGCAGGGTATCACTTACCCGAACGGTGAAATGCAGAATAAATTAATGCGCGAGGTGTACAATGAGGCAGGGATTAATCCTGCAGACGTGGTTTACGTGGAGGCTCACGGTACTGGTACCAAAGTGGGCGACCCGGAAGAAATCAACTCCGTTGACAAGCTGTTCTGCAAAGACAGAAAAACGCCCCTGCTGCTTGGCTCTGTCAAGAGTAACATGGGACACGCGGAATCCGCCAGCGGGGTCTGCTCGATCGCCAAAGTGTTGATCGCAATGGAGGAGGGCGTGATTCCCGCCAACTTACACTTTAACACTCCGAATCCGGATATCCCTGGCTTGAAGGAAGGACGCATTCGAGTGGTCGACAAAACCATGCCGTGGAACGGCGGTATCGTGGGCATCAGTTCCTTCGGATTTGGTGGCGCGAACGCTCATATTGTTCTTCGTAGTAACCCGAAGCCGAAGTTATCCCCGGTGCCGGACACTACTGACCAGCTACCCAAACTGGTCGCAGTGTCGGGTCGCACGGAAGAGGCCGTGCAGACATTGCTGGAGAAAGCGAAAGAGCATCGGAAGGATGACGAATTTCTCTCGTTGCTACATGCCATACACAATAACAATGTACCACGTCACAAGATTCGCGGCTACGAGATCCTGAGCGTCGATTATACTCGCGAAATAAATCAAGTAGCCAACCCAAATGACGAGAAACGTCCTATATGGTTTGTATTTTCTGGCATGGGCATCCAGTGGCCGGGCATGGGTCGCGAGCTGCTCAACATCGAGGTTTTCCAACGTAGCTTGCGACGATCCGCGGAAGCGTTGAAGCCCCACGGCATCGATCTCATGAATATCATCGTGAACTCTACCGACGAAACGTGCGAAAACGTGATAGACTCCTTCGTGTGGCTCGCGGCTTTGCAAGTCGCTCTCGTCGATGTCCTCGCGTCGATAGGCATACATCCGGACGGTATAGTTGGACACTCAGTCGGGGAATTGGGTTGCGCCTATGCCGATGGCGCGTTTACCCCGGAGCAGACTGTCCTAGCAGCCTATTGCAGAGGCAAATCGATTGTAGATTCCAAGCCGGTGCCGGGAGCCATGGCGGCGGTCGGCTTAAGTTGGGAGGATGCTAAAAAGTTGTGCCCGTCTGACATCAGTCCGGCTTGTCACAATTCCGCGGATTCAGTCACCATTTCCGGTCCATCCGAGTCTCTCGAGAAATTCCTGGAGGAGTTAAAGAGCAAGGATATCTTTGTTAAGAACGTCAAGAGCTTCGGTGTCGCATTCCACAGCAAATACATCGCCGCGGCTAGAAGCAAACTTCGCGCTTCCCTCGACAAGATCATACCAAACCCAAAGCAGAGATCAGCTAGATGGATCTCGAGCTCTATACCCGAGGCCGCGTGGGGCAGCCCGCTCGCACAGCTCAGCTCGTCTGCGTATCACGTCAACAATTTGCTGTCGCCCGTCTTCTTCCAGGAAGCAATCGCGCATATTCCAGACAACGCGATAACGCTCGAGATCGCGCCATACTGCTTGCTACAGGCGATCTTGCGCAGATCGCTGCCACCAACAGTGACCAATATTGGCCTTCACAAGCAGAACCACTCGAATAATCTGGCCTTTCTGCTGTCTAGCATAGGTAAGCTGTATGTGGCAGGTGCACAACCTAATATTTCCAAGCTGTATCCACCGGTGAGCTTCCCCGTTGGTCGCGGGACACCCATGATTGGGCCCTTGGTCAAGTGGGATCACTCCGCCACGTGGGAAGTAGCCTCCTTCAAGCAGACGTCGAGCCAATCGGGCGAATGCGTTGTACAAGTGGATCTGTCAAAAGAGACAGATGCTTATTTAGCGGGACACCAGATCGACGGACGGGTCCTCTTTCCAGCCACCGGTTATCTTATGCTTGTGTGGAAGACTTTGGCGAAGCTGCGCAGCACCGACTTCGAATTATTGCCAGTGGTGTTCGAGAACGTGCGCTTTCAGCGCGCCACCATTATGCCGAAGGAGGGAACGGTGAAATTCTCGATAAATATTTTCGAGGGAACGGGCGATTTTGAAATCTGCGAAGCCGGCACCATTGCCATCAGCGGAAAGATCCGCGCGTCCCAAGCTATCGAAAAGGATCAGCTGAAACTCCCGCCACCGCCATCAGTTCCTGTTGACAAGGAAATTTTACCGTTGGATACCAAGGACATTTACAAGGAGCTGAGGCTACGCGGATACGAATATGGTGGTATCTTCCAAGGGATCAAGACCTCTGATAACTATGCCACTATCGGCGAGCTTCGTTGGCTCGACGAATGGGTCTCGTATTTAGATACTATGCTACAGTTTAGCATATTGTCTAATAAACACAAGCTGCTATATTTACCATCGCGTCTTCAATACGTTGCGATTGACCCGGTTCTTCACAAACGCTTGGTGGACAAGCTACCGCAGGACGGCGGATTGCCGATATATTACTACCAGAATGTTAATATCGTGAAATCAGGTGGCGTCGAACTCAGAGGACTGAAAGCTTCCCTGGCCCCTCGACGACAGCAAACTCAAGCTTCTCCTAAACTTGAACGATATATTTTCGTACCCTATGAAAATTCACATAGCCTTGTGGAGGATCCAGCAAGGGCTAAATCTCATGCGCTGACTGTACTATTCAACATTATGAACAAGAATATGCCAGCGTTGAAGTACAAGATCTTAGAGATCGCAGGTGAACGAGCCGCAGAAACTCTCTTGATTCCGTATGTAGTTGATTTTTTCCTTGGTGAAATGGAGCATATCACGGTAAGTGTAATAGTATTGTAGGAGCAGAACATTTTTCAGAAAATCTTAACAGAGATCAAGAGACACGGTAGTGTCTTGAAGTCGAGTCATCATCACTCAGGCGCAAGACACACCGTGTATCTTTACGCGAAAGGCTAAATTGCAAGTAATGCATATTATCGGTTCTCAATAACCGCTGAATCGATCAAATTGTTATTACATTTAATCAATTGCTTGGGTTCGATTTATATAAGGAAAGTGTCTTTATTTTTGCTCTATGTGCTCTATAAGCAGAAATATAACGATGCAAAGTTTCAATATGAAACTTTTTAATTAAGAAACGTCACCGTCGTGGTCGTGGCTACATTTTTCACATATTTTTCTTGTACGTTTCGCACGTTTGACGAAAGAGGCGCTGTGTTCTCGTGACGATGAGAGATGTATAATTTTTTTATCATGCGAGAAATTACCGACTGTAATTGTAATGAATTGATCGGTACATAATATACTTTCCGATTCACGCATGATGCGCATGAAGTGACAGAAAATGTATAGTTCATGTTACGCATATTATTATACATTTTCTGTTACTTTATGCGCATCATGTGTGAATCGGAAAGTACCTATAGATGTCAATTATTTGAATCGACCATGCATATCGAATGTAATACTTATTCAAATAATTGCTACCTATGTATCGATTAATTTATTGCAATTGCAAACACCCAGGTAGCAAGCACACGTCATTTTGATGTTTCAAATTGGTCATTCACTGATTATTCTTGATGTCACGAATTGACGTTTTTAAGACGTAAAAGTGACGATCTAATGTCACAGATTCCTGACATCATGACATGTACCGCATTTTGATGTCTTTCTCTTAGCATAATAATATATTTAATAATGTTGTCGAATAAAGCATTCTCTAAAAGTGAATCAGTGTATTATCACTGAAAAACAGTAAATAATCACTGATTACAGTAATTATTACATAAGTACAGCGCTGTAAATCAGTAATATTTTATAGAAAGAATCAGTTAATAATTTTGACTATTTCAGTAATATCTCAGTAATATTCCTTTCGTTATTGCCAGTAATATTAAACTTTTCAATTCATCTCTCTATTTCATAAATATAATGTAATAAATATAAAAATATAATATATAATAAATATAAATATAAATAAATAAATATATAAATATATATATATATATATATATATATATATATATATATTGTGACGTGGCCGTCACGTCGCGTACATCCGCCCCGGCAATCTTGACGGGGCGCGGGCCGAGTGGCCGCGTCAAGGATCAAGAGAGAGAGAAAACTATCGCGCTCCCCGGAGAGACGAGCGAATTAGTATAATTGCGTGTAGTATTAATTCTTTTTTTTTCTTCTATCCTTTATCTTGTATCGAGTCGGCATGAGGCACCTCACCACCGAACACCGAAGAACAGGGGAGAGCATCATCGCCTCCCCGCGACAGCTAAGAACGACAGCCGAGGGAAACTCATAAGAGCCGAGGATCCTGGCCCAGAGAGCCCTGCATCATGAACCCGGGCAGGGGAGAGCCGCATCGCCTCTCCACAACTGCCGGAAGCGACAGCCGTTGCGACAGCCACCCTCCAGGGGAGGATACGTCCATGAAGGACCTCACCCGGGCCATATAAGGGCCCGCGACGGCATTCAAGCTTGGCGCTATTTCGCGCAGGGCGCGAAAATGCCTCGCGTGGCGCGCGAGGCGCCAGGACCTCGCGCGTGTCGGCCGCTAATTGGCCGGGGGTCCGCGCATCCCCCTGCGCGGCCAGCGACCCCGCTATCGACCCTGATCGCGAGATCCAGGGCTCACTTTGTCGCGGCCGCTCGCCTAAACCAGTCCACTGCAAAGTATTGTTCGGTGTGCTCTCGAGAAGGAAAAGGCCGTGAAGGACGAGACCGAGGATCATCCCCGCAGTCGGGAGAAGACTTCATCGGTGAGGTTGCCCACGAATTATTGTACTCCGCGAGCGTGATTGTGTCCGCTCGCCGGCCGTTCTGTCGCCGTCGCCATTACGGCTTATCGCGACCGCTCGAGCCTTCTGCCGAGTCGGTCGATTTTGGTGTATTTCGGGCGACCGGAGACAAGCGACCGAGGAAGCGTGGACACGGGCGACGGAAGTGCGTATCGTAGGGTAATTCTCGTCTCTCTCCGGGTGCGTAATACGCGTAGCAGCCGACCATTGGGTATCGACCGCGTGCGTCGTAAATCGCGAGAAATGCGTAGTTCGCACGGGCTGTCGTTTGGTTGTCGAAGCCGCGTCTCGCACCTCTGAAATATGTCTCAGAGCGAGTCTGTGGAACGTAATTGGTCGTGATTAAGGCGTTTTCGTGTAGTATTATCGTCGTTCGGGAATATTGCGTGAAACTGAGTATTACTGTCGCGTCCATTGTGTGCGTGTGAGTCATTCGTCTCGAAAGAAGGAACATAATTCATCGAAATTGTCGCGGTATGCGGGTATCGCACGATTCTAAGTAACGAGATCTGAGGTCAGGAAATTCCTGGCAAATACTGCGGCTATCGAAGGAGGCGCGGTGCGGGACTGTCGCCCGGCCTTCCTTATTGCCTGGAGACGAGAAGATAATTAATTCTCACGCTGTCGAAGGTATCGAGGGTGTGACACGACATTGTCGCATCGCCCCGATTGCCAGAAATATTTAAGTTGCGAGCGTCGCAGAACAAGGCGGAAAAATCTCCGACCGCTGCCGGCTATCGAACTTCGCCGGTATCGTCCGCCAATCGTATGCGAGATCTCTCCTCACGAATCTGGTATCTTTTCGCTTACTGCGTAACTAATCGGCTGTCTTATTTCTGGGTTGTCGACTTCGAGTACGCTCGGAGGAAATTGCGAGATACGCAGCTAATTAGTGAGATCTCCGCGAGGCTGTCGAAGCTGCGAAGGATAGGCCGGTATTATCGCACTCTCTCTCTCTCGCGTAGGCTACGACCGTCGAGAATTCGAATTATCAAGGTCCTGTATAGAAATTATTGTTCGCAGGAGCTTCGACTTCCGGAAGCTTTCGTAATAGACACTCTTTGTTAGACCGACTTAGAATATCGCGCGTTTTTCGAGCGTTTCGAGAAGTATTGTCAGTTCATGTCTAGTACGTTATTTCTGTTTCCACTCTGTATCGGTTTTTACTTCTTTTTGTTAATCACTTTTCTTATTAGTTACTTTCTTAATAAACCTGTTATTTTCTTATTTATTAAATCTCGCGTTCTTTATTTGACTGGCGATCGTCCGTGATTTCTGTGTTCGTCTTTGTCTGTTAATTTAGTAAGCTCGCTCAATCAATTGACTTTTTCTTCCAAACCCCGCCCCTCTACCGTTAGGCGAGCTAGCCAGCCCGTGGCGAAGCGGGCTGTCGTATTCTTTCGCGCTTTTCGAAGAATTTGTGAAAACTGGTACGTGAGAGACCGTACCTCGCGCCCAGTTCTGAGATAACGAGACGGCCTTCGCTCCGCCGCGGCTCGCGCGCGGACACCCTCCATCCCCGTCCCGCCGATCGCGAGTACATAAAACCCTTGTGTTTTTGACGGCGCTTCCGCTCCCCCGCGAGAATACAAATTTGAATTGAAAAAGCGTCGCAATATATATATATACAGGGTGACCCATTTTAACTTAGGCAGCCAAATAACTCGAAAAATAAGCACACTACGAAAAAATGGTTAGAATCAAAATTTCGTCATTTCGAGGGGGACGTACAATGACGTTAAAATCAGTCCCCCCACCCCTTCCTCTGGGCGGTAAGGGAGGGCAAGTTTGAAATCTTAAATGGAACCCCCTATTTTTCATTGCATATTCTTGTAGCTTATCTCGAGAGCTTTCCAAAACACTATAATTAAGTACCTTTTTATTAAGTACTTTTTGAGTTATAAGGCTTAAAATAATTTCTTAATTTTACATAAACCATAAAATATCTAGTAAACCATTCATTTTTCGATTATCTTACCTTCATACTTTTATGTACAAAATAATGAGAGGAATCAATTGGTGTAAAGAAAATATACAGTTGTTTTTAAGAAAAAATATGGAATTGTTAATTGCAATTACATATTTTTTCTTAGAAACAACTATGTGTTTTCTTTACACCAATTGATTCCTCTCATTATTTTGTACATAAAAGTATGAAGGTAAGATAATCGAAAAATGAATGGTTTACTAGATATTTTATGGTTTATGTAAAATTAAGAAATTATTTTAAGCCTTATAACTCAAAAAGTACTTAATAAAAAGGTACTTAATTATAGTGTTTTGGAAAGCTCTCGAGATAAGCTACAAGAATATGCAATGAAAAATAGGGGGTTCCATTTAAGATTTCAAACTTGCCCCCCCTCACCGCCCAGGGGGAGAGGTGAGGGGGCTGATTTTAACGTCATTGTACGTCCCCCTCGAAATGACGAAATTTTGATTGTAACCATTTTTTCGTAGTGTGCTTATTTTTCGAGTTATTTGGCTGCCTAAGTTAAAATGGGTCACCCTGTATATATAAAGTCTGATCGCGAAATAAGTCATGTCATATAAAAAATTTTTAAAGATTTTTTTTATGGGATCGATATACAAACTAATGACGTTCATAATAAAATAATCGTCACTTCATGACTGAAAAATGACGTCAAAATAATATTATAGCAAGACGTCAATATAAAGTCATATAACAATAATCAGTCATTTTGACAACATATGACCAAAAATGATTAGTTTGGAACGTCAAAATGACGTGTGCTTGCTACCTAGGCAGTAATCCCTCACATAAAAAAATTGGTACACGAAATAAAACTCATCCTATATGCAGTCTCCTGCACTATCACACTATCTAGTTACATTAATAACAGATTTCTAAAGTTATTTAGAGATCTAGACGATTTTTCTTCATTGAAAATGTCGAAGGTTTGTAACTAAACCTAAAATTAAAATTTTATTAAAATGAACTTTACCTGTAATTAATTGAGGAATGTAGCTTTGTTAATATTTTAACTTTACGAAGTTTGCAAAAAGTATATTAAGTAGAGAAGATCGTCATATTTTAATGAAATGACGGGGCTGGTGGCGGATTCTTTGCTTATTTATTTGGATATTTAACATATCCTCAAAAATTACTTTTTTAAAAAGTATAAAAAAGTTAATCATGTGTCAGTATTAAATTGTAAAAAATTTTATGTTATTGTAAAAAACTGTTTTATGCACAAGACATAGTATTATTTAAACTACAAAAATGTTACATTAAACAAAGTTAATGTGCAAAATAGTTATTTCTTAATTGTCTACAAAAATTAGTGATATCCTAAAAAAATTACCTTTTCAAAAAAAGGTAAAAAAAAGAAGTTGAGTCATCTCACAATCAGTAGTAAAACATTATTGTATAAAACTATTTTACAAAAAATTATTTTAATAAAAAATTGCTGTATTAAAAAAAATTGTGTAAAATAGTTGTCATAATTATCTATAAAAATTACCCAATAAGCAAAATGTAAGCAGTATGTCGACAGACTGGCAACAGATTTGATCAAACCATGTCAGCAGAATGACATCTACTGCGTCCTCATTCTGCTTCTAATCTGCTAGCAGAACCTGCTCACAGAATCGGATATCAGATTGTCGGCAGAAATCGAGCAGGATCTGCGCATGCAATTTGATGTTAGATTGTCAGCAGAAACCGAGCAGAATCTGCGCATGATAACAAATTGACAGCAGAAACTTCACAAGATTTGCGCTTACTTTTATTAATGTTATATAAATGCAACACAATTGATTATTACAGGTGCTAAATAACAATATTATCGGCAAGTTAATTAGAATTTTCTCTAGAAAATGACATATATGTAATATGTTATATCGTAGATATATCTCATATAGCGAAGAACTAATTCAATTTAATTAAATTAATAATAAAGTAAATGATAAAAGTAAATGTAACTTGTAAAACTTGAGATGAATTGACTTGAGACTAATTTATTATATTTAGAATTAAATTCTTGCTTTATGCCTTAAATAGGCAGTACATGAATAATTTTTCATTTATCATATTGATTTCAATCAGTTTAATATTCTGACTCTCATTTGCTTGTATCAGATATCAGAAATTAAAGTGATAGAAATTAAAATAATTACTACATTTTTAGTCTTTTATTCATATTTGCGACTTTATATATATTTCTGACAGAAATTCAATTACGAAAAAGTACAGCTCGCGTAGCGGTAAGTGAAGGAATTATCGAATCATGCAAACCCTGTTCCGTTTCTGCCATCAATCTGCTATCAGAGATTGTATGCGCAGATCCTGCTCGATTTTTGCCGACAATCTGTTGTCAAATTGCATCGCACAGATCCTGTTCAATTTCTGCCACCAATCTGCCACTAAGTTATGCCGGCAGAATCTGTTCGATTTTTGCTGCCAATCTGGTAACTGATTATGTTAACAAGCTTTGTTATATTTCTGTTGACATTCTGCTGACATCACATGATATATCAGAATCTGCATCGATTCTGTAATCTTTCTGTCGACAACAATTTGTAACAGATTCCCTGACAAGATCTGCTTTAGCAGACTTGGCTATTGGGGTAATGATATATTTAAATAGAAAATTACGTCGAGAATAAAAGAGTGCGATTTTATTTTATGTTTATCAATAGTGTGTGTGTCTGTCTGTCTGTCTGTGTGTGTGTGTGTGTGTGTTAGATGTGATTGACTGCAGATAAATAATTAGATGAAGAAAAATTATGTTTATATTTTCGTCGAAAGTTATTACATCTTTGTCGTAAAAGTCAGAATCCCGATTTCTTCAACGATGAAATTGATTCATGTAGCACGTAATTTAAAAAATTTTAATTATTAAAAAACTTCACGCTGCCAAATTTATTTGTATATTATTCAGTAGCGTCAAGTTTTAACAACAGTTTTAACAAACATCTAACACACACACAGACAGACACACACACACACACTCTGTTGATAAACAAAATAAAATCGCCCTCTTTTATTCTCGACGTAATTTTCTATTTAAATATATCATTAATTTTTGTAGATAGTTATGACAATTATTTTACACAATTTCTTTTAATACAGCAATTTTTTATTAAAATAATTTTTTGTAAAATAGTTCTATACAATAATGTTTTACTACTGAGATGACTCGACTTCTTTTTTTTACCTTGTTTTGAAAAGGTAATTTTTTTAGGACCTTAGATGACGAAGCAATTATAAAATCATATATTATAAAATCAAGAAATCAATTGCCGGGACCATTTTTCTTCTTTCAAGTAAATAGGCATTGAAGATAAATAATGTATATCTTCAATATCTATCAGCGTTTCAATATCTATCACGTTTAGAGGGAATCTCTCAATATACAGGGTGTTTCATATCACCTGTACTACCCATTTAGAAACTAGAGAAGTGATTTTTTCAAAAAAGTAAAAACATTTTCTTTATAAATCGGGTGCGCTCTATCGAATAGTGATATTTTCAACTTCTACTTCCGGCCGGAAATAGGCGATTCAGACCGGAAGTGCATTTTTTTAAATGGAACTCCACATTTTTCATTGCATATTCTTGTAGCTTACCACCTCGAGAGCTTTCCAAAACACTATAATAAAGTATTTTTTCATCGAGCACTTTTCGAGTTATGAAGCTTGAAATTATTTCTTAATATTACATAAACCATAAAATATCTTGTAAAATATTCATTTTTCGATTATCTTACCTTAATACTTTTATGTACAAAATAATGGGAGGAATCAGTTGGTGTAAAGAAAACACATAGTTGTTTCTAAGGAAAAATATGTAATTTGCAATTAACAATTCTATATTTTTTCTTAAAAACAACTTTATGTTTTCTTTACACCAATTGATTCTTCTCATTATTTACCCGATTTTATCACCCGATTTAGGAACAAAATGTTTTTGCCCTTTTGAAATAATCACTTCTCTTTTAAGAGAACTTTCACTTAGTTTTTAAATGGGTGGTACAGGTGATCTGAAACACCCTGTATACTTAGTAAATTTATTTTACAAAAAATTGTGTTTTTATTATTTCAGCTCGATTTAAAATTGATTGCTGGGTCTCCCAGTAATTATGCAACAGTTTCTAGCCAAGTGGATATTGAAATTATGGCGGAGGATACGAATGATGTATCTTCCATTCAGAATATGAATTTCATAATAGCAGCGGATCTTATATCCAACAAATCTTATGATGTTCTGAAAAATCTGGCGGCTGCTTTGAAACCCAACGGTTTCGTTCTCCTGGAAGAGACCGCCGCACAATTGAATCTTAAACTCGCGCTGAAGCAAACAGACCTAATATTGGTCGCGAAACAGATCGATCCCGTAGGAAAGACTTATCTGTTGCTGAAAAAACTTGAGAAGAGCAAGGAACCAACTATAATACAGATGGTGGAGAAAAATTTCTCGTGGTTGGAGGGTTTAAAAGCGGCACTGAAGAAAGCTGACAGCGAGAATCAACAAGTGCTTCTTGTATCCCAGGAACCGTTACTCGGTAAAATTTAGTTTTAGCATAAAGCAACGTTTAAACAATTTTCTTGATTGTATTATGTTAACAAAACATAAATCATTTCTCTGTTTGTAGGTCTAGTCGGACTCATGAATTGTATACGAAGAGAGCCTGGCGGTACGAACGCACGTTATGTTTTTATCCAGGACAAGAACGCTCCCAAGTTCAGTTTATCCACGCAATTCTATGCAGAGCAGTTGGATAAGGGATTGGTGGCCAACGTGTTAAAGGGAGGTCAATGGGGCAGCTATACGCACTTGCTGTTGGATCAACAGAGCAATGTGTCTTCCCTGCAGGTGGAGCACGCTTATGTAAACTCGTTGATGCGAGGAGACTTGAGCAGTTTGAGATGGATCGAAGGCCCGTTGAGTTACTATCGGCCCGAAAATTCTTCAAATACAACGCTCTGCAGCGTGTATTACGCTCCTTTAAATTTCAAGTAAATTTTCACTCAGATTATCTTGAATTATTCGTTTAGAGATGAAGACGACCTGGATGAAACATGTTACATTATAGAGATATCATGCTGGCGACCGGAAAGCTGCCACCGGACGCTCTGCCAGGAAAAATGGCCACGGAGGATTGTATATTGGGATTGGAGTTCTCCGGGAGAGATGCGGATGGACGTCGCGTGATGGGTATTGTCGAAGCTAGAGGACTGGCGACGACCATAGTGGCGGATCTCGATTTCCTCTGGGAGGTACCCGACAAGTGGACATTGGAGCAGGCTGCGACAATACCTATGGCTTACGCAACCAGTTATTACGCTCTGTTCGTACGAGGTCAGCTAAAAGCGGGCGAAAGTGTGTTGATTCACGCTGGCACAGGCGGCGTCGGTCAAGCCGCTATCGTCATCTCCCTGCACGCCGGTTGCACAGTCTTCACCACTGTTGGCACAACTGAGAAGAGGGAATATCTTAAGAAAATCTTCCCTCAATTGACCGACAGACATATCGGCAATTCTCGGGACACGAGCTTCGAACATCTGATACTCACCGAAACCCAAGGACGTGGAGTTGACGTGGTGCTGAACTCGCTGGCAGAGGAGAAGCTGCAAGCCAGCGTACGGTGTCTCGCGTTGTACGGTCGTTTCCTCGAGATTGGCAGGTACGATCTATCGAATGACAACAACGTAGGAATGTCCATGTTTCTGAAAAATACGGCTTTCCATGGGGTATTTTTGGACATGCTATTCGACCATTGCGCGAAAAAGAAGGAAGTGGCAAGACTCGTTTCAGAAGGAATCAAGAACGGTGTGGTGCGTCCTTTACCTTCGACCGTCTTTTCGGAGCAGCAGCTCGAGCAGGGATTCAGATTCATGGCGACCGGCAAACATATTGGCAAGGTATTATTGAAGATTCAGGACGAAGAGCCGAAGAGACGTGTCCCGCCCATGCCTAAGATAGTAGCTGCCATACCTCGTACTTACATGAATCCGGAGAAGTCGTACGTATTAATCGGTGGCCTCGGTGGCTTCGGTCTGGAGTTGGCCAACTGGATAATAGCCCGTGGCGCCAAGTTCATCGTTCTCGTGTCACGCTCAGGCATACGCACCGGTTATCAGTCGTTGTGCGTGCGACGCTGGCGCGAGAATGGCGTCAAGATTTTCATCTCCACCGCAGATGTTACAACTGTATCGGGTACGGAACGCCTGATTCAAGAAAGCAATCGATTGGCTCCGGTGGGTGGCATATTCAACCTCGCAGCTGTCCTGTGCGACGCGCTAATTGAGAACTTGACGGAGGCCGACTTCAAAATGGTGATCCTGCCAAAAGTCGACGGTACAAGAAATTTGGATGCGGTATCGAGGAAGTCTTGTCCATCGCTCGATTACTTCGTGGTATTCTCATCAGTATCGTGTGGCCGTGGCAATGCTGGTCAAACCAATTACGGTTTTGCCAATTCAGCTATGGAAAGAATGATAGAGCAGAGGCAAGCCAATGGTTTACCTGGTCTGGCTATTCAATGGGGTGTCATTAGAGATGTTGGCTTAATCATAGGTATATCACATGTATACGAAATGTAGTTTCTTTGAAAGATTCGGGTCTGTCTTAAGATAACTTCCTGGATCTGTAATTTCCTAATTTTTGCGAGCCTTTATTTCTATAAATCCATCCTTTTATTTTATCTTAAAAAGCATTCATATTCATTAATAATTTCATTGAGCAATGATAGCGATGATTGCATGATTTCTTTTATTCCGAAGAAAGATAATAACGATAAAAGAAAGATAATAACGATAAAAAATTAGAAATTAAGCATATGCATGCACATGCACGTATATTATTGTTCTAAAATCATTGTACGTTGCATTTTATACAGGATTAAAAGTCTGGAAATGGTCAGTTATCTTCGAAAATAGTGGTCCTGTGGAAAAATGTTTCAGACAAAAGTTGTAGGGTTTTAAGTGAGGCATTACATAGTAATATTACTATGATCTTGAAGAGTATTATTAAGGTTACATGAAGATCATCTTAAATTTCTTAAATGGAATCTCCTATTTTTAATTACATATTCGTGTAATTTACATCGAGAGCTTTTCAAAATACTATAATAAAGTATTTTTTTATTGAGTACTTTCCGAGTTATGTGACTTGAAATCATTTCTAATTTTACATAAACCATAAAATAGAAAAATATTCATTTTTTTAAAAAAAATATTCATTTTTCGATTATCTTACCTTAATACTTTTATGCACAAAATAATGAGAGGAATCAATTGGTGTAAAGAAAACACATAGTTGTTTCAAAGAAAAAAATGTAATTTGCAATTAACAATTACATATTTTTTCTTAAAAATAACTATGTGTTTTCTTTACACCAATTCCTCTCATTATTTTGTACATAAAAGTATTAAGGTAAAATAATCAAAAAATACATATTTTACAAGATATTTTACGGTTTATGTAAAATTAAGAAATGATTTCAAGTCTCATAACTCGGAAAGTATTCAATAAAAGAATACTTAATTATAATGTTTTGGAAAGCTCTCGAGATAAGCTACAAGAACCCGTAATAAAAAATAGGGGGTTCTGTTTAAGAAATTGAAGGTGGTCTTGACGTGACCTTAACAACACTTCAAAGTCATAGTAATATTACTGTGTAATGCGTCACTTAAAACCCTACAACTATTGTCTGAAACATTTTCCCACAGGTCCACTATTTTCGGAGATAATTGACCGTTTCCAGACTTTTAAACCACCCTATATGATCTATTACTTATACAATTGTTACTCTTTTAGAAACGAAGGGAAATAACGACACAAAAGTTTGTGGTACTATGCCACAACACATGACGAGCTGCCTGGCGACTATGGATATGTTCCTACAACAACCGCATCCGGTGCTATGTTCCGCAGTATTGGCGGAGAAACACAAATCCACGAATGACGGTAACAAAGCTGGTCTCATTGGAGCTGTCGCCAATATCTTTGATATTAAAGACGTCAGTTTAGTCAACGGTACTCTGGCCGATTTGGGTATGGACTCATTGATGGGCGCAGAAATAAAACATACTCTTGAAAGAAATTACAATATCGTGCTGTCGCCTCAAGAGATCCGCGCCTTGACATTCGCCAAATTAGAAGAATTATCTTCATCGACTGGCGAGACGAGTAAGCAACTTGCTGTCGCGAAAGCTACCGTAAATTCGGACGAAAATGCTGCCAGTAATATGCTGATATTGCAATGGCCGGGTGAAGTGCTGCCCAAGGAAGCTCTCGTCCAATTGAAAACAAAGAGCGCAAATGGAACGCCACTATTTATCGTTCACGCGATTGAGGGTCTGATCAAACCGTTGGAACACGTAGCCAAGGAACTTGACAGACCACTTTGGGGTCTGCAAAGCGTCGAACGTGCGCCGCATGATACAATACAGGAATTGGCCGAGTTTTATATCAAGAAAGTCAGGGAGGTTCAAAAGAAGGGACCTTATCACCTGGCAGGATACTCGTTTGGAACTTGCATCGCTATCGAGATGACTCTGCAGTTGGAGTTCGTTGGAGAGAAAGTCAGTCTAAGTCTAATCGATGGTTCAATAGAGTTTATGCGACAACAATGCGAAATGATCGGCAAAATAGATACATCGAACTACCTCGTTTCCGAAGGCTGTATGAAATCATTGGCGTATTTCAGCATTCAATTTAACAAGAATGTTACTTATCCGGAAGTGAGTACCATGATCTCTGCACATCTGTCTTCTTCTATGTCATCAAGTTCAGCTCGGATGTATTGTGCAAAGTTGTGTCATGAATAATGTCATTTACTTCTGCAAAAGTGATTCAGATGTCAATGCATAATATATAATATATACAATTAAATGTTTATTGTTTATAAATAATTCATGATTTTTGTTTACTTTTGAAAAGTAATGAATTGTTTGATAATAACTATTAAATGACTTACGTGTTTTTTTCTTCATTTTTATTGTTAACATTTTATTGTTTATGATGACATAAAAATGATCCATAAATATCCACGCATAGATAATCAGAGTGCATATATGTATAATCGAGATATCGAATTATTTTATAATCTATATGTTTCATTCCAGGCATACGAGGTTCTGAAGCAGAGCAAATCGGAGGAAGAGATGTTTGACAAAATGTTAGAGATAATAGGTAACACTGCGTTTGTGGAAGAAGATTTAAAAGTCGCTGGATATCTTCTGTTGAAAAAATTGGCGGCCGCTACAATGTATTCTCCGGATAAAAAAATTGAAGGACCAGTGACACTAATTAAGGCTAAAGAAAACTTTATACCTATAGCAGAAGATCACAATTTATCACAGGTAAGAGATTTATTTCCGTCTTTTCGTTTCTTTTGTTAAATTTATGCGCAATATTATTTTTATATTTCCTTAATATTAATATTATTTTTAATTAATATTATTAATTAAAAAATTATTATTTAATATTAATATTATTAATATTTAATAGTTAATATTATTTTTCCCTTTCCTCTTCAAATTTCTTTTAAAATTATGAATTGATTATAAATTAAAAAAGAATTCAAAAATTTTTATTCCAATATATTTTTAAAAATTTTTATCGAATATATTCCGTTTTTTTAATGCTATATTTATTATATAATTATTCGAAAAATAGAAAATTGGGAGTGTATTAACATAAATATTTACCACATCTGCCACATCTAATTAAAAATCAATGGAATAAATAAATAAAATGTTGATAAACATTTTTATATATTTGATAGATATTTTTTGAAAGCTAAATAATTCTCTCAATCTTTCTTTCACATATAAAAGAAACAATATGCAAACCATATACTTAAAGATTTATACATATTTTGCTCTTTTTCAGATCTGCGTACAACCTGTAAGAGTGGAAGAAGTAAATGGCAATCACAGAACGATATTACTGGGGACAAGCGCAAAGAGGATCGCAAGTCTCTTGCAAGCATAATCTGTAAAACGCGAGAAAACGTTCGTTAAAATGAAGCGTGTAACAATTAGAATTCGTGTAAAAATGTTATCATGTCTAAGAGAATGACTTCACGCATAACACGAGACCGTTAAAAATTATACGAACTTATTATGTTTAATTTAAATTAATTAATAATAAGGGAAGTACTAGTATACCATTTTAAAAAGCTGTATCTCGTGCATTTCTCATTTTGTACGTTTTACTTGGTTGCAAAGAGATCTTCTGGTTTGTAATATTGGAAAGGATATTAGAAGAGATATATATGCAAAAGATTCCTATGAAAAGATGTGTCACTTTATACTGCACAAAATCTGCTATTGCGGCAATGTGCAAAGAATTTGTAATCATATGATCACGTTAATGTAATTACGTGATGAAATATATTCTACAACGTTCCTGCAACCGTTATGCGGTAGAACGTAATCTTCACAAGGTTGCAGGAACGTTGTAGAATATATTTCATCACATAATTACATTGACGTGATCAAATGATTGCAAATTCTTTGCACATTGCCGCAATAGCAGATTTTGTGCTGTATAAAGTGATACATCTTTACATAGGAATCTTTTGCATATATATCTCTTCTCATGTCCTCTCCAATATTACAAACCAGAAAATCTCTTTGCAACCAAGTAAAACGTACAAAATGAGAAATGCACGAGACACAGCTTTTTAAAATGGTATACTAGTACTTCCCTTATTATTAATTAATTTAAATTAAATATAATAAGTTCGTATAATTTTTAAGTACATGGGATCAGTAATTTGTTTTTAAGACTGTATAAGCTTTACCGTGATATTTTCAAAGAGGACACAAATTTAATGCGCATTTGCGCGTGTCTATTTATTTAAATTATATAATTATATATTATATTTATTTTTTTCTCCACTTACTTAGTAATTAATGATACTTTGATTTAAGCGGTTCGATCTCGTTATTTCTAGCATTAAATGCTAGAAATAACGTGATCGACCCGCTTAAATCAAATACCTGCAATGCTTCATCATTATATAGCATAATGAAATTGTAAATAACAACAAGATATATCAATGCATTGCTTAATACACTTTTTAATTACTGACTCTTCACATTCGATATAATGAAAATATAATTAGTGAAGAGACATTATTCCAAGATTTATCGCACAATATGTAATTTATATTTCCATTTAACGATTAAAAGTTTGGCTTATTAAGTAAATATATACTGTCTGTATTTTTTATTAACACTTTCAAGATATTGTGTATATATTTGTGTTAATTTTCAAAATGTATACTTATTCATCGTAGGTATATAATATACAAATTAATGCAAATTTATATAAAATATATTTATCTCTCCGAAACTCTCTGATTATAATCAAATAAATTTTCAAAAAAACTTATATAAACAATATCTTCCTTTAATAGGAGTACAATAGGCATAAACGAAAGGGTTTTTTGCATCGTATAGTCACTGGTGATGAAAAATGGATCCACTACGATAACCCAAAGAAGAGACAATCATGGGGACCACGTGGCCATGTTTCAACATCGACAGCCAAGCCGAATATTCATGAAAAAAAACTCATGTTGTGTATTTGGTGAGATCAGCTTGGTGTTGTGTATTATGAGTTGCTCAAACCGAACGAAATCATTACTGGGGCTCTCGAATACAATTGATGAGATTGAGCCGAGCACTCAAGGAAAAACGCGCCCACTACTATTCCAGACAAGACAAAATTATTCTCCTGCATGATAATGCTCGTCCACATGTTGCGGCGCCGGTCAAAACCTACTTGAAAACACTCAATTGGGAAGTCCTACCCCACCCACCGTATTCACCAGACATTGCCCCATCGGATTGTCACTTGTTCCAATCGATGGCACATGGCCTGTCTGAGCAGCACTTCACATCATATGAAGATACCAAAAATTGGGTTGATTCGTGGATAGCCTCAAAAGATGAAGAGTTCTTCCGACGCGGTATCCGTATGCTGCCAGAAAGATGGGAAAAAGTAGTGGCTAGCGATGGACAATACTTTGAATAAAACATAAGGTACCGTTCTTTCGCAATAAATGCTCAATTTTTGATAAAAAAACGGCGGAGACTTATTTGTACTCCTATTATTATGATGATGTTCGATTACATGTGAATCTAATGAAATTTATAAAAGAAATCATTTCGATAATCTACACATAAGATAATATAGGCGAATAGCGGCACAGACAATTGTGAGTTTGGAATGTAAGAAGCAATCCAGCGAGGATGCCGAAGACAGTCCTGAATTTCGATTCATACATGGAAGTCATTCTGCGAAGATTAATGATTTTTCATTATTTCAAGTGTGTGAACCTGAGTGTCTAATATGCTCGGCATCAAAGGAAAACATGACGCAAATACAACAAATGACAGAAATTATTTATAACGACAAAGAAATCGAAACGCAATTCATAACGTGGAATTCGTAGCATCGTTTTGAACCATTAATTGTTAGTCGATTGAGAATTATAAACGCAGGTACAATTGCGCGTCATGTTGCTAAATCTTCTAGTATAACAACTTATGCTGATGACACAACACAGATTTCTTTCCATCGAGAGATAAGTCTCGTTTTTAATTGATCAATTATATGTAAACTACAAGAAAAATATAATTAAGAAAAAAAAGATTTATTACTATTAATATTTTTGAAAGATTCATAAATGCATTTTTAACAGATAGCATAAATAATTGACATTTTATCGCATTTGATTAAACAAATTTATATTTAATGATTTTTTTTTAGATATTTTCTTTATGCAAATTATTAATGAATATTATAAGAATTATAAATGAATAATGGAAACTTATATATATACTCGATAAAAGAACACTATATACAATGAAATACTAACAAAATAATTTAATTTAATGCATCGGTAAAATGCGATTCGAATATCGCGGCATCATTATCGCACGTGAAAGAGACTGTTAAAGCATAACGAATACCAGATTTTACTTTTTTAACTAAATGCAAATTTTCACTCCCCGAGGTGAAAATCGAGATTTTGCCTGTGAACAAATAATGTTAAATCATTATTTTATTTTTACATACAGGATAGATTTATTTAATCGGATGTAAATCTTACCTTTTCTTGATTCTATTGTTGAGTTGACATTGTTCTGGTCGATGAATACAAACCGACCATCCTCGAAATTTTTTTCATAATCATTTAAATACAGCAGTGATGTATAATGAAACGATTCATATGTCTTCTAAAATTTTACATTTTAATTTTTTTTTAATCGTTAAAAGTTAAAAAAAAGAAGAGCTCTTTATATTTGTATAATTGTATTAATTAAGAGTATTATATAATGTTTAAAACCAAACCTTATCAACATGTGGATGCCAATATTCGTCATGTATGGTTTTGCAGGTTTATTAATTATTCGCGAAAAAAATGTAGGTTTAGTTAGATAGATTTTATCTATATCTACTCCAAAATTGTGTGCCACTGCATGTTGTATTTTCGTTTTCACTACCCTAAATTAAACGCAATATATTATTAATTTAAATATGTATCTTTTATCACTTAAATATTAGATATATGATAAATATACAATAAGATATGCATATGTGTTTAAATGTTGATTTATGTATGTAATAATTCTGTTACTTGAATATGTATTTTTATTTTAAAAGCTAGATCTGGAATATTTATAAAAATAATTTATTTACATGTATCTAACAAATTTAATCCATTTTTGTGTCACTAATTTTAGAAAATTCTGCAAGAATTTTTGTTTTTTTCTTTACATTTAATTCTCACAATATTCATATAGAATTAAGAAGAATCATACCTATAAATTGTTAAATCCATATTATTAAATAACTTCTTTGCTGCTGGATGTTTGTAAATATTGATAAATCCTTTGCTAAGAGAGCCAGAATGAAGATCCAGAATACTAGCACCGCCATCAGATCCAGCCAAATCTAATCCAGCTTTTGCTAGCTTCAGTAAAACATCTACCTCTGTTGTCGAGACAAGTTTATCGGTAACGACTCTGCTACATTTCTCTGATACACAGCCAGAGTATTTTTCTAACTCTCTATAATCCACAGAACAGTCTACATTCTGTGTACAACTTACCAGCACATCGTTCTGCTTTGCCAAAGATACTTCCTTGGCCTGTCTGCTATTATATCAAACTATTAATAATACCTAGTATCAGAATGCATCTAGACCACACTCTTTGATATGGAAAAGTTACAACAGGTCCATATTTCCTATTAAATTGAAAATAGGGATCGTATACTTTTAATTCACTTTTATAAATAAATTTTATAAATTAATTTAATATAATTAATATAATTTTATTATTATTAATTTATTATTAATTTAATATAATTAATATAATTTTATAAATTAAATAAAGTAAATTTTATAAATATTAATAAATTAAATAAATTAAATAATTACTTAATTACTTAAGCAAAAGCAATTTTATCAAAATAATAATGTTTTTTTATTTGTATATTATGTATCCGATTACTTATAAATGTAGAAGACCGGTGTGTGTCCCAAATATTTATAATTTAATAAATGCAATTTATAAATATACTCACAATTCAACAGGCTTGTCCACCTTGTTTTCTTCTCTATTAATTATATTTTCCTTTTGTGTACTTCTCTTCTTCGTTTTATTTACTTCTTGCGTCGTCATTGTTTATTTCTTCAGCTTATGTTTAACCTAATTTCTCAAACATGTCAAACGCTTAAGGCTATAGCACACACTTTCCATAAGACATGACAGTAAGGTTTCGACCAATCGCGTTGCTCAATTTGGCCGTCCGTAACCAAATTGAGCAACGTGATTGGTCGAAACCTTATTGTTATGTCTTATGGAAAGTGTGTGCTATAGCCTTTAGCACCTATGCTCCTTCTTGGGCTGCGTTCCAAAATTCACTGCCACTAATGAAAATCTATAGTTTACGTGACGTACACTATAGATTTTCAGTACTGGCAGTGAATTTTGGAACACAGCCTTGGTATCAGAGAGAAGACTGAGAAGTATCATGGCCTGCTTTTAGATGATTCCTGAAAGCGATACTCCCTCTACGAACATTGAAAACGTCGACATGAACTACAAAGCCATTCCATGAATGTTCACGGAGGATAATATATAATGTGCACAGTTTCTGGTTTTGTTCCGTGCTATGTGCACGAAATGCCGGTAGCACCAGTGCCCAGATAGCACAAGGATATCCATTGTACATCCACTGAACATCCGCTTGTGGACATAATACAGTAGAAAGTATCTCGAGTCGAACTGATCTCCCTCTTGACTAATGCTCGTGATATCTACATCAAGAAATTCGAGGCTTAAAGCACTTGGCCAGAAGACTTAGTTGGCAAAGATCGGCGTGTATTGAGGTCAACTGACTTTCAAACAATCGTATCTTGCGTATCGCGCAACATAACAAATCGATTCTTCGTAATGGCGTTTTCAACTCCACCAAACTCTGTGTGAACAAGTGACATAATTCTGCATCTGTAAAATATATTTAGATTAATATTATACATCGTCATAAAGAATAAATGTGATTGGATAATGAAGTGTATCATAAATATTTTAGGAAAATTCAAAATCTTCGCGAGACATTTAAATATTTAGATCAGTGTAGATACTTGAAAAAGCTCTTTCAATATTATAGACAAAATTCATAAATTTTTATTTTGCAAAATAATTAGCATAATCAATGTACTATTCCAAATTAAAAATGTATTTGTAACACAGTCTTCGAATTTAATTCTGTCAATAAAATTTTTGCAAACTCATATATACTTTTGGACAAAATTAACGCATCATTTTTTTATTCACTTTTTTTTTAAAAGCTCACATTTAAATTTTAACGAAAAATTTTAAAGAAAAAGTGAAAAAAAAATTATGCGTTAATTTTGTCTAAGAGCATATGTTTTAAGAAAACTTGTTTCTTAACATTAACATGTATCTATGCATATTAAGCACAAATCCTAAGCATGAGAAGCTTCTTAACAAAAAATTTGATTATATATTTAATTTGATTATGCATTTAACTTGTTACATATAAGAATTACAGTCAATATAACAATGATTGATCAAGTTTGTGACAGAAGGTTTGACATACTTACATACATCTGGTGCAAATCTAACTTGCTCTCCGTTACATCCGATAATGAACTCCTGAACTTGATTGAACAACACCCTGTGTGCATCCGGGTTATTCCCATTAGAATTAGGTAACGAAAATTTCGCACAAAGTACCGCCAGGATTCCTAACGAGTGCTGTTGGAGTTCCAACGTTTCCAACACATTGTCCAGGTGTTGTCTATTTTTCGTTAATACCTCGGTGCTTTTACTTATGATGTCATACAGCTCTCTACAATTACTTGCAAGTACATATAAGGCTGTATATAATCCTGATGCTTAAAAAAATCCACCTTTACACCTAGGTTTCTTCAACTGTCAATAAATATAAAAATATATATAAAATATAATATAATATAATAAAATGTGAAATAATAAATTGCGTGGAATCTGAAAGCAATATCCCTTCTTTCAGAAAATCCACCTTTACGTCTAGGTATCTTCAACTGTCAATAAATATGAAAATATATATAAAATAAAATATATAAATATATAAATAAAATGAAATATGTAAAATATATAAATAAAATAACCTTGCTTGAATATGGAAGATAAATCGAGAGACTCGAAGTCGCGAATCTATCATCAAATTTCTATTCAAATGTTACAGCATTTTTTTTATATTGTACGACGCATAATTTTGGTATTTTCTCTTCATTTTTTTTAAATGTATTCGGGTCATTCGTTTTATTTTTAAAATACGTTATAACTTATAGCGCTCTTACAGCGTTTTCGAGTGAAATTTGATCACTCCAAGACAGATTAATGGCACCTCGAGTTACTAATCCGAGAAAAAATCAAAATAAGGTCAAAGTGACGTCAATTTTTGGTTCAGACTTGATGTAAATTTGGTCAACATAAATTGATATGTTTAACATTTTTTCTTGTTCTTCTTGAAAGGTACTTGGATAATTAATCAATGAAATGCTTTGAGTAAGCGTTTGATTGATTGGTCAAAAAGAATTTTGTTTTAAAGTTAAAATAGAGAGATTTATCTTGTATTGTCAAGTGAGATGTATTTTATATTACTTATATCATTAATGTATTATGTTAATTTGACATCAATAAGATGTCAAATTGACCAGGCTTGATGTAAATTTAATCAATATAAATTGATATTGACATTTTTTCTTGTTCTCCTTGGATAGAGATACTTGGATGATTAAGATTAATCAACAAAATGCTTCGAGTAAGCGTTTGATCGATAGACAGAAAGAATTTTATATTTTAAGGTCGAAATAGTCAAGTGAGATATCTTATATTATTTATATCATTAATATATTACTTATATTAATCAAAAAAATTCAAGACTCATTTTTTAGTCGAACATATGTATGTTTATGACAAATTGAGTTTAGTCACTCTCGGAGCGAACGATCGAACCTACTTCACTCGAAAAAACTATTAATAATTTAATATTTTATTATTTTTATTTTTTATTTGAAATATTTAAATTTTATTATCTACTATTTTATTATCTTAAATTTTATTATCCACTATTTTATTATCCATTATCTTATTATATACTACTAATAATTTAATTATTTTATTATCCACTATCTTATTATATACTACTAATAATTTAATAATGATATTTTATTATTTTTTATTTTAAATATTTAAATTATTATTCTTTTTGCCAAATTTTTCATTTTCCAATATGAAAATTTGTAAAATACAAATAAAAAAGAAATATTCGTACGTCCTTTCAAAGTTATAGAAAAGAGGATTAGCAGGATTAATTATACTTGCACGATTTTATTTTACATTATATGGATTTCCGGATTCTCTTTCATTTATTTTTAAATTCCCCCTTTCAGTACTCTAATAAGCCAGGGAATGTTTCCGACTTGCCCTCCGTTTGTCTGTCACGTATGATTTCTACCCCATGATGTCATCAGTTGCCAGGAAACCGACAAGTTAGCTATAACGGTCGATGACGGACCTTATGTGAATTTCGCAAGTTTGCGCTTATCAAAGAAGAATGTCGAATGCGACGTATGACGAGCTCTGGAGAGAGACTCAGGCGTTGCTCGCGGAGACGGTCCAGGCGGATACGGTGCTCCAGGGCGCGAAGCCGCAAAAGGATCGTAAGAAGGCGCACGACGTCGTCTCGTCCTTGTACGTCCGATACATCCTCATCTGCAACAAACTCGAACAATGTTACGATCAGATGATACAACCGCAGAAACGTCTGCTGCTCAAGAGATCGTTGAACGCGAGTCTGGGCAGGATGTTGGAGCTCAAGCACGATCTGGTCAATATCGATCTGTCGGAGCACAGCTATTGCGACGACGTCTTGCTCGAGTGCGGGGTGACACCGCAGGAAGCGGAGATCCAGATACCGAGGTATTATAGACGCGAACGTGCTGAAGAAATTGCGGAGAGACGGAAATTTATTGAGGATACGCTTCGAAATTTGGGCGCCCTTCACGAGGCTGTCGTGCCGAAAAAAATCACCGAGTCGCAGGCTATACGACTTATTCAGGTATCGCGAAGATTCTAAAAAGAATCGAGGCTCATAATTATATATCTGGCTCTTCGAAGAAAAGCTGTTTCAATGCACAGTTCTACGAAAAATTAATTTATAATATTCATAATTTATAAAATATTAATATATAAATATTAATATAAATATAATTATTATATTAATATTAATATTAATATAAAATATTAATTTATAATTTATAATATTCATAATTTAGAAAATATTAATTTTTAATATCTCATAAATATTTTTTTCATAACATATTTATGTAATCGACAATGATGCACAATTAAAATATTATTACCTACTTTATCATCATTAATATCAACATTTAATAGACTCAATTAAGGATGTTTTATATGTACACTCTCAGCAAAAAGTAGCTGAAAATCAATATTGACGAATATCCACTTTTGGTGTATTTTAAGTAAGAAATTGTGTAGAATATTACAATTTGATCTTAGCCACAGTGCAGAGATGTATTTTTTTAATATTTATTGCGTTTTTACTGAAATATTCCGAATTTTGTTAATCGAAATGATTAACTTTTGACAGAGAATTTCGCCTTGTGACAGATACAATGGCTAACTTCATTAAATTATATTTAATATCTTTTTAACCAGGTAATACTTGTATAATATTATTTGACCAAATATTTCCTCTGTATTTAAACTTTTGCAAATTTTAAACAAATTCTGAATATTATTTCCACGTGTTGTTGTCATTTGAATCGATGTGGTTATACGTTTCCCATAAGAACACGTTAATTAGAACATGTTAATTTGGTTCAAATTAAAATCCTTATAACTTGTGAACGCTTTAGTGAATCGATTTAAAAATTGTATTAAAAATTCTAAACATATGTAAAGACATTTTGTACAATTTTCTTTATTAACATCCTTAAACATAAAATATGTTTTTTTAAAATGTTTATAATTACTAAATATTTTGTTATTATTGATGATAAAAGCTAATTATTTCAAAAAATGCATTTCACAGGTTTACCAGAAGTTTTCTTTTCAATGTACACACACACACACACACACACACACACACACACACACACACACACCAATGTGTCGCTTTAAATTTATTTTTGACTTACTATACCGCCCGTAAATGTTAATATATAATATTCTAGGCTCACGAACGAGCAAGACAAGGTAGATTGAGATATCAGTTTATGAAAGAAATTCGTAAGATGAAAGAAAGATCAACTACTAAACCAGAAATCGTTGATGAAGATGATACGGGCGAAAAACTCGCAGCATTGAAAATTCAGAAAGTATGGAAAGGATATATCACTAGATGCCACGTTCGCAAGAGACGCCTCGAGGAGATGCTGTTAATAGGTACTAAAAAATGACGATTTTTAAATCTGAATTATTGTCTATTGGATAAAATATAATGGTCCAATCTAATAGTCTGTCTTTCTTTTGTGCGGAAAACGAAGAAGAAAATTAAAAATCAGAATGTAAATAAAAGACTTATTTAATGAGATTTATATCCTGCTTTATAAAATAATGCATACATACGAATAATTCCAATAATAATGTATAATTAAAATAATAACACATACGTACAAATAATTCCAATATTGTCTCAAGTGTATTTTTTGAAGCACATGTTTCGATAAAAGGAAGCAAACACATTTAGTGACATTTAGTACTGTTTTATTTCAATATACATATTAACATGTTAACTAAAGGAATGCTGCAACCTAGTCAAATAATTACGGAAAATGCCAGACAAGCGGAAAGATTGAAGCAGCAGAGATACGAAAAGCAATTGAATTTTCAACAACAATACCAGAATCTGATATTTGGAGCGAAAGAGAGAATTCGCAACGAAAGGAGCGCTATCATGGAGGAAAATATCAGGAGTGAAATTCGAAATTGGATCGACACTTATTTTCAACAAACTGGAAAAATACCCGATTTACCATCCGCCGAAAGCGGTGGTTCGCGCATGATTTTCAGCAGACAGGTAAAGTATTACATGCGAATATGAAAGCACTGAAGGATATAAGGATAATCAAAACTATATGTACAGGTTGAATATTAATTTCTATCGTAATCCTTTTTATCGTATTTAATTCCTTTGATTGTTTACTTTCCAACTGAACAATTCAGCAACGTAATGTCTTTTTATTAATTGGTAAGCTCAATAACCGAGGAACTCAAAATTACATTGTATAAAATTTGAACGAAATGTTCGATTATCAAATTTATCAATTAATACGAAAGGCATTATGTTTCTGAATTATTTAGTTTATTGTATATCCAAGTATTTTATAATTTACCTAAATTAATTCTGCTAGGTTTCAAAACTACTGTCTTGTTACAGGGAACTGAGAGTACCGTGAGCAAATCAACAGTGGTATCATCGAAAGAATCGAAGAAATCGAAACGCTCGAAATCGAAGAAAGATAGCGAAACGGAACAGTCGGAGGATGAGACGGATCTAGGATTTAAATCGGTCCCTTCCAACTTCCTACCGGAATTGATTCACGCAAATCAGGAGTATCAGGACGTCTGGAGGGACAAGGATGAATCCGCGAACCCGATGCAGCTACCTTATAACGACATGATAGAAGCGGAGAAAACGAGAGAAGTCGAAGACGAAGTTAGAATAGTAGTGGATCAGACGATGAGAGGTAAGATATCGATAGGTCAAAAGATAAGAATTCTTTACAAAGATGAAAATTGAAAGGATTAGCATCTCCACTCGATTTAAATAAGCATGTTTTACGTTTTACAAATTTTTATTTCCAAATATTTTTCACTTTATTTCAATCTTTTTGAAAAACGAGCATTCGAATTTCCTTAGCATGCAAATTTATGCAATACTCGACATAACAACTATTTATTTTTTATTGTGTTCATTAAAAATTATTTATATTATGCAAAATTCAAGCCAGCTTATCGACAGCATATGACTCATCTGTCAATGCGATAATTAGGCGATATAGAGGCTCTTCAAGCTGCGTTAGACAGAGACAGAGGATTCAAGGGGAAACGCGCGAAAAAGCCACAGAAACGTATTCGCAGAAGCGGGAAGAAAAATAAGAGAAAGAAAGAGAAAGATCTGACGCCCGATAGAACAACCGAGTCCCTTTTCGAAGAACTTCTCATGCAGGGTATTATTAAACTTCACCGCGAAGTTTCCTTGGATGAATTCAAGGGCGAAAAATCATTCGTGAATTATGATCTTCGTATGAAGGAGAAAGATCCTCTTCCAGCGCTTGGTACACTTGAATATATAATATTTAAATTTAATATTTTATTTTAATTCCAATTTAATATATTTTTTAAATATTTTAATATTATTTAATTATTATTTGAATATTATTTAATATATTATTTTAATTACAATTTAATATATTATTTTAATTCCAAGATCATTATATTATATTGTATACATAATAGTAATATATATAAGAAACATAATTTATTCTTACTTTCAATAGATACTAATTAATTTTAATTATATTATTTCTACTGCAACAAATAAAAGTTTCCTTCTTCTTTTTTCACTGGAAAAGAAGTATTCTTTAAAGATGTTTTGTATGTATTTTCAAAATATTGTGAATTTCATAAAAATTGTACAGAATGTCCTTACATATGTTTAGAATCTTCAGTACAATTTTTAAATCGATTCACTAAGTTATAAGGATTCACAAGTTATAAGAATTTTAATTTGCACCGAATTAACATGTGTTTTTATGGGAAACGTATAACCACATCGATTCAAATGACAACAACACGTGGAAATAATATTCAGAATTTGTTTAAAATTTGCAAAAGTTTAAATACAGAGGAAATATTTGGTCAAATAATATTATACAAGTAACTAACTGGTTAAAAAGATATTAAATATAATTCAATGAAGTTAGCCATGTATGTGTCACAAGACGAAATTCTCTGTCTGAAAAGTTAATCATTTCGATTACAAAATTCGGAATATTTCAGTAAAAATGCAATAAATATTAAAAAAATACATCTCTGCTCTGTAGCTATTATAATATTCCACACAATTTCTCATACTCAAAATACACCAAAAATGGATATTCGTCAATATTAATTTTCAGTTACTTTTTGCTAGGATTGTACATACAAAACATCCTTAAATTTACGAAGAATTTGATTATAAAATAAAATCTTTTCGAATTTAAAGCATATGCTTTATAAGAATTAATCGAATTGTCAGGTGACATAAGGCAATTAATTGCCGAATACTGCATACTTCCGCTGGGCAATCAAGCCCTGAGAGAATTCACACCATTAGTACGATCTGTTCTGATAGCTGGTCCGCACGGTAGCGGCAAAAAATTGCTGGTGAATGCAATCTGTACGGAACTCGGAGCTACGCTCTTCGACATCACGCCAGTAAATATCGCCGGCAAGTATCCCGGCAAATCAGGATTGATCATGCTCGTTCATTTAATCTCGAAGGTTTGTATCGGAAGTATAAAAATATTATCCGATTAAACACGAATTTTGAATAATTTTATTTAGAATTTTGGAAAATATTTGACATTTTTTGGGTACTTGATTCATATATAATTCATATATTAATCTTTATTCATAAGGTGACATATGAAGTTACAAGTGGATGGTGTAAAGATGCTCTGATAAACTGGGCTTCTCGCATTATGAAAATTTATGAACAATTAAGTAATAATATTGTCTTCGAATTATTTATCTTGTGCAATTTCTGTTAATTTACGAAGATTTTTTTATTTGGACAGTCATGAGCGTATATTTAAACAATTATTCATCTAGGAAACGTACGTATAATATTCGGACAATTTTTTATTGTCAAAGGTATCACGATTGCTGCAGCCGTCAGTGATTTTTATGGATGACGCAGAAAAGCCGTTTGTAAAAAAAGTACCAAAAACGGATAAGACCGATCCGAAACGTTTAAGAAAAGATCTACCAAAGCTCGTCAAGAGTATCGTGGGTGAGGATAGAATTCTGCTTATCGGAACATCCAATAAACCTTGGGACGGCGATCAAAAACTCTTGTATCAGACTTACGATAAAATCATTTACATTCCTAGACCGGATTATGGCACTGTGTCTTTGATATGGAAAGATTTATTGTACAAAGTAAAGATATTATTTTTACTACGCAGACTAGAATTAACAGATTACAAAAATAAGAATTTTTTACATCAATTGGAAATAATTAAAGATATAATAATATATTTTGCATAGAGCTACTTATTAAGTATTACATTATATTATTAGTCTTCTGTACAATAATATCACTTTATATATTTTACTTTATATACAGGCTATCAGGGCAATCTCTTCCCAAAAAAGTTCTTACTTATCTCGAGAGCTTTTCAAAACAACTATGATAAAGTATTTTTTCATTTAGTACTTTTCGAATTATGAGACTTGAAATACTCTCTTAATTTTACATAAAATATCTAATAAAATATTCATTTTTCAATTATCTTATCTTAATATTTTTATGTACAAAATAATGAGAGGAATCAATTGATGTAAAGAAAACACATAATTGTTTCGAAAAAAAAATATATAATTTGCAATTAATTACATTTTTATTTTCGAAACAATTATGTGTTTTCTTTACACCAATTGATCCCTCTCATTATTTTGTACATGAAAGTATTAAGGTAAGATAATCGAAAAATGAATATTTTACAAGATATTTTATGATTTATATAAAAATTAAGAAATGATTTCAAGCCCCATAACTCAAAAAATACTCAATGAAAAAATACTTTATTATAGTGTTTTGAAAAGCTCTCGAGGTTTTCAAAACACTATAATAAAGTATTTTTTCTGACACCCTGACACCCTGTATATTTGCATTTTAGAAAAAATAAGACTTATGTTGAAAATTAATAATTTCTTTTATCTTAAATCTTACAGTATTTTTTTTTAGTACTCTGGTATTAATCGTCAATTTGATACATCAGCTATAACTAAAGCGTGTGACGGTTTCACAGTCGGTACTGTTTTAGCAACGATTAACGAGGTTAACGACAATTTAAATTACAAATTTTTATTTGACATACATTTACATAATGTCATCTTTGATTTAATATTTTCTTTATTATTATTAGATGATGACTACGAAACGTATGGTACAACTACGAACTCATCCTTTAACACATGCTGAATTGGTAAATGCGTTGAGTTTCAAGGATCCAGTGTATCGCGAAGAGGAAGATGCGTTTCTAGGTTTGTAACAATCTGTATATATCTGTATATATGTGTGATAAATGCATATCGCTCAAAAATGTCTTAAAGATTTATTTCATTAATAATTTTTCTTTCAATATTTTATATGTATATATATATATATATATATATATATATTTATATATATATATATATATATTACTAATTATATATATTATTATTAATTAATTATTAATTTATTAATATATATTATTAATTAATTATTAATTTATTAATATATATGTTATTAATTTTTATTAATAATTATATATATATTAATATATATTAATTTATATATATATATATATAATAAAAATTATATTATATTATATATTATATTATATTATTTATTAATATTATATATTAATATTATATATTATATAATAATATTAATATTATTATATTATTATATTATTTATATTATATTATTTAATTATATTATATTATATTATATTATATATTATATTATATTATAATAAAATTATATATATATATATATATAATTATTCCAATATATTTATATATATATAAATATATTGGAATAATTTGTTAAAATCATACATGTCCATAAATATATACACAAATATATATGTATAGACATATATTTAGATATGTTGATCCATTCTTTTATTTGTATGACTTTCATCAAGATTCTTTAAATATAACATTACAGCTTGGTTTTTCAAAACGCCAACCTGTCGGCGGAAACAAAAAGCTCTTGAATTGGAACTCGAAAAATTAAATGAAGCCAATGAATTACAAAAAAAGAAAAGAGGAAAATAAATTTCGTATAAATAAGGTTCATATATCAAACGATTATTGATGCGATGTTTCTATAATATATTTATCAATAGAAAAGGCGAATAGAAAAGAATAAAAAAATAATCTCAATAAACTATTCTTTTGTTGTAAACATTGAAACAATGCAAGTTTTCTGCTTTAACAAAATTAATTTAGCGCTAACTTTTGTTTAGTCTGTAACGTTACAAAAAGTAATAAAAATATTACTGCATTCGTTGAGATGGAATGATAATTATACATGAAAAAATTATAAGATATAATGTGATATGATAATTATACATGAAAAAACTATAATACATGAAAATAAGACATGAAAAATGTGAGTCTTCTTTATGGGAGTTTACATTTTGTACTATTATTGTTTTTATTAATTATATTAATTCGCTCTTTGTCGTATAAAAAATAGATCATTCATTTTGCACAATTCTTTCCGAGTGAATACCTATCTGGATTTATACTGGATAAAAATCACGAACACATGATCGCTGTATGTGTCATAGGTCAAAGCGTGACCAAGGCTATTACATCACATGATTACGTTTTTTACAATTACTGACAGGCTATTCATCTAAATCTACAAATATTATATATATATATATATATATATATATATATACATATATCGTATGTGTATATATAATAATAATAATAATAAATATTATTCTTTAGAGAAAAAAATCTCTTTTCATAATATTGTTATTTTTCTAGAACTTTATAAAATAGATACATAATAAAATTCTATATGAGAAAAATTAATTCTGTAAAATATATAAGATTAATATATTGTAAAACATCGTAATTTTTAATTGTGATATAACATTTTACTCGTTTTAATTAATTCATTTTAATCGTGATTAACATATTTTTTAGTCACATGACATAATAATTTTATGAATTTACATGATGGTTTAAATAATTATATGTTTTATTTATACGAAGCAAGATAGATTGGCATATAATTTCATTCCTGTCATCGCGTTCACGTGATACACTGCGTGACAGACGAGACTGCATACCGAATAATCGATTATCTCTGTTGCGACTCTATACTTCCTTGTCGAGAAAGAGATGTAAACGTTGTTTTTGATTAGCACAACTATAAATCGCATCGTCATCACTCACAAAGTGGTATCTGTGGTACTAAACAGGATGCCTCCTGCTTTGCCTTTGGACGGTGCCACACAAAGGTCTCGTTAAGCTCGACGATTAGTTATCTCGTGCACTTTCTTCAACGTTAAAATTAGGCTGTCGGGTCTATTGTTACATTGGAAGAGAAGCCCGTTGCAAGTACAAATTTGTTTTACACGCTCTACTCGACAAAAATTAATTTTTTTTTATATATATGAACTCTAATGATCCTTTAAATTTAAGAATGATAAATAAAATAATGTGATTTCTAGATTTTTAATGTGAGAATTAGAAGGAATATTATAACAAAATGTTAACAGAAAAATAAATGTAATAAAAATTAAAGAAAAATTAAGGAAAAGTGATAAGATGCATATAAAATAAATAATTTAAATTAAAAAATGTTAAAATGGATATTATGAAACGTTGGTTTGACTACGAAATGATTACAATATTTTCATTTATGTGTAAATGATTTATGTGTACATTCTCATCATTATAAAGTTATTCATCATTACAAGTTATAAACAGTTGTACTAATCTAAATAACATAACTTCCATCAACATAAAACATTTTCTGAATCATTTATTCTTTTAACGAATCACATGGAAATAAAAAAAAATAAAGTTTTTACTTTAGATCTTGATATAAATTATTCATTATACAGCATAATGATGATTTTTTAAAAATATTTATCGTACGACAAGAGATAATATACGACTATTTCCCAATTTCTGCGCAAAGACATTTTATTCCTTTTATTCATTTTATGTAATAATCGTGGAATTAAGTAATTAAAACAGTCTCACGCGAAGATTCCTTACTAAAGTACATATTTAGACAGGAAAGACCTTCTTTAACGCTATTTGCCAATATGTTGATAAAAGTGAAGTGAAAAAAATTTAATAATATATTCAATATATTTCTCTCATTATTAAAATATCAATTTACATGAATATTTTTTCTTTTACATATAAATTTTTTCTCTTACATATATAAATATACATAAGAATTTATTTCAATTAATATAAAATTTAATCTTGTTTCCATTTTAATTTCTTAAAAATGTATTTCATTATTACATTATATTAAAACAACTATTAGTCACTAATGTAATAATAATTAATGATTAATAATTTTAATGTAATAATTAGTATAATGTAATATTAGTATAGTATAATAATGTAATAATTAAATAATGTAATTAATAATTTTAATGTAATAAAGTTTTATAGCAAGCAAAAAAAATATTTAGTAATTAAGACAACCATAATAACCATAATAAATTCCTTTTTAAAAATGTATTTAAATTATATGAAAACATAACATTCTGTAAATTATATAAACTTCTGGAATTTATATCGCATGAAATTTTTGTGAGATATTTATAACGTTTATTTTTTCAAAACTCCTCATTCTTATTTATTATATTTCTACCTTGATGCGAGATAATTTAATTTCGATAAACGTCATTTAATAATTTGATATAAATTTTTATACAACACGACAAGAAACTAGCGAATAAGAGATAATAAATTTTTATAAATCTACGTTCTCAAAATTGTACGAATATATAATAATAACTCCTAATATTTATGCAGATCTTGTAATGATAAGATGTTTCTTTATATTTCATTGTATGTTTTTAAATTTAATGTCAAATGATTTTATGCCACAAATTTGCTTTTTTATATTTTTAAAAAAATTGTTACATAAATTACTAATTTGCATCTCATACATACTTATCTAATTCTCAATACAAAGTGCTTTAAGTCGTAATCTCAATCTCAATTTTAATTACAAATTCTTTTGCTATAAACATTTTAATTTCTGTTGAATGCGCACTAGCGCATATTCAAACGCATATTATACTGTGTTAACCTTTCATTTAATCGACATTCAAAATAATAGTTTTTAAAATTAACTAGATATGTTTTGATATATTTATCAAAATATTGCATGTCAAGGAGTTGAATGTTCTTTATCACAAACGCAAAATTCGTATTTATAAATGTTAAATCCTTTTGCAGTTGCTATTCAAACGAAATATTAACATTTAATTTGACGTCAATTCAATTTCCTTCAATGTCATTTAAAGACACATATATTAATTCGTAAACGAATCAGTGAAATAGGAATTTAGCAGTTGAAATCGCACCTCGATGATAATATTATGCAATTTTAATATTCGTCAAATATTCTCAAAAGCCTAATTTGAAACACTTAAATATTCACCGCTTTATATTCACATAAACATACCATTTTATCAATATGATAAGAAAATAACAAGCGTGTTAATTAAAATATATTAACAACTTTCAATAAATAGTTCCAAAATATCGATCTGACATCTTTGCGCTTCTGGCATTTAATTTATGAGAAGCCTTCAAAAAGTAATTTATTTGTTTAATTTTAATATGCGGCTATTTAAAAAGCAATGTATACACATCAGCTGATAAGTTGACCGGTGCAAGAAAGAAAAATCAACTCAAAAACAATTGTCAAGAATTGAAAAGAAAGATCTGGCATCCCTGAGACTTACGCTTATAACGATCTTTAGGGAACACTGTCTTTAACACGCCGGAATGAAACTTAAACTTGGATTATATTCATGAAAAAAAAAACTAAATTAATGTCGCAAGTTGAATCCCTCGGACCCACGCTTGTGAAGTTGTCCATTTCTGTCGAGAGACGAACACAGCATTTATTTAAGAAAAAAAAATCTGGCTCGAATCTAATCTAATCTCTTGGTGTATCATCGATTCTATATTGCATTACTATTGTAGTTTTTTAGCAACATTAAAGGAGTTATTACCCGACAAACTCCAAATAACAGTTATGTAAACGTCAATTATAATTTCCCACTCAACAATATAATTGTTGTTTAAGGATGTTTTGTACCTATTTCCAAAATATTGAGAATTTAATGAAAATTGTACAGAATGTCCTTACATATGTTTAGAATCTTCAGTACAATTTTTAAATCGATTCACTAAAGCGTTCACAAGTTATAAGGATTTTAATTTGCACCGAAATAACATATGTTCTTATGGAAAACTTATAGGATAATATTATATTCTTATGGGATAATATTATACAAATACTAACTGGTTAAAAAAATATAATTCAATATAATTCAATAAAGTTAGCCATGTATCTGTCACAAGGCGAAATTCTCTGCCAAAAGTTAATCATTTCGATTAACAAAATTCGGAATATTTCAGTAAAAACGCAATAAATATTAAAAAATACATCTCTGCACTGTAGCTAAGATCAAATTGTATTCCACACAATTTCTTATTCAAAATACACCAAAAGTGGATATATTCGTCAATATTGATTTTCAGCTACTTTTTGCTGGGATTGTACATACAAAACATCCTTAACACATAACAATATAACTTACATGTTATATAATTGTTATTTAACAGTTATATAACATGTAACAGTTATACAGGGTGTATCTTAAAAAGCTCCCACTAAGCAAATAGCGTTATTCCTGATTAAAAACCGAGTCGAAAAGTCCTGAACCATTTTGTTGCCTAATGCTTAATAAAGCATTAATTAATGAGTAAAATCCCGCCAATAAGAAGACAAATTTCCTTGTTATCAACATATGAAGATTTGGATAAGCAATAAAATAAACCATTTTGTGTTAATATTTAAACAATTCATCTTTTCAGAAATCTTTTTAATTCTTAAATCTGATTAATTATTTAATGAATCTTGGAAAAAAAAATGGATTCAGGACTTTTCGATTCGATTTTTAATCAGGAAATAATATTTGCTTAGTGGGAGTTTTTTAAAATACACCCCGTATAACTGTTACTTGGTGTTTGTTTGCCGGATACCGTATCTGAATATACGACTCGTATAACGTAAAATTGCACGTTGCAATGAAACCCATCGAACCGAAGACAGTCGCGGTATCGATCCTCTTTCGAATCATTCGAGACAGCGCATCGAGTCGCCTCGCCCCGTCTCTCTCTCCGCGCCCCCCCTCGTCCTCACCACGCCGCACCACGTCATGCCACGCCATGCCAAGCCATGCCGGTACGTTATCGTCCTCCTGATAAC